GTAAAAATGTCACGTGCAGATGCGCCTTGGCGTGTACTCGTACGTAGTTGAACGTTACGTTCGCGCAACAATTCTATTATATTCTGTTGATCGAACGAGAAAACATCTCTTCCCTCTTTATATTTATCGGACCGAACTGTTTCCTTCTTTGGAGCGGAAGGAGGTATGCGTTACGCCGAGAGATCGAGGGGACTTGTTCGACGGTTCGGCGACGCAAATTTATGCGTTGGCCAGTGCAACTGCAGCCCGCGGACCCTGGATATATTATATACGCGTGGCGCGTTGCGTAAATGACGGGGAAAGTCTCGTGGGCCGTGATAATGTCAAAAAGCCGTCGCGACTCGACTGATTTTGGGTCACACGAAGTCGGGACCGAGAGAGGTGTTCTTTCGCACGCGACGACGCCTTCCGAGGCCGAGCTTTGGTCGTTGACCGTGAAAAAAACACAGGAGCGATGCGAGAAGATAGTAAACGCTGACCTAGAAAGGTATGGAAACGCTAATCGACTTGCGCAGCGAGGAGAGAAAAGAAAAGAGGAGTCTTATCGTGATCGCAATTACGACTCTGCGACTGCGGGAAATTATCTAAATTAGAATCCTGGGTTAACGGATGTCCGGCGGGTTTTGCGAACAAATCGTGAACGAGTTGCGTGAGGAGTGTCACGGCGGGATATCTTACGTAATTCGAGGAAGAAATCATGTTGAGTTAATTACTTGAATAATTTGCTGGTCTTTAACCAGCGAGTTATTAGTGAATTGACTAAAAACCAACAAAGTTATATCCAAGTAATTGATTGAAGGATCATTTAAAAACCCATTTATTGCGATACTTACACGGAGAGAATTTTTTCTTAAAATTTATCCTGAAAATCGTGTAATCGTGGGACAACACGGCATTCGAAGAATTTTATGAGAGTTCCCTAGTAGCACAGTGCCATTGGCTAAACATTGGCTAAATATTGGTCCAATGTTGGTTATATTAGAAATGCATTGGCCGATATTGTCCAACGTAAAGCCGATATTGACCATGAAATAAATGTAAATATTGCACGATAATAATTATACAATATTAGATTTATATTGGAAGTGCACGGGCCATATTTAACAATGTAATAACAATATTGCTCTAATATTGATGCAATATTAAACCAATATTGCTAAACAGACGTATTGACTATATAAGAAAAGGCGTCCATCTTACAATATTGAACTAATATTGGGAATACTAGATTTACATTATTTCTAAAAAAAAATTGAATATAACTGCCAGCTAGAATCTAAGAAATTCTACGTATATTTGAAGTGTTACGAAAATCAACATAAAAATGCTAGAATTGGAACACTTTTGTTAATTTTTGTAATATTCCACAAGTACGCAGATGATTTCATTCTTTAGGATTTTGCTGTTTCCCAAAATTTTTAAACCAGTAAAGTTTTGTACTAATTTTTACAAAATTGTACATTTTCAGGAAATACTACTTGCAATACTTTCTTGATTTGAGAACATTGCTATTTTGTAGATATTTTCACAAAAAAATTTATGTTTTAACGAAGATATAAAAATTTCTACAATATTTCAAGTCATTTTTTGGTTGTTATTTATAGAAATTTTTTTCACTAGGGTATTGCACCAATATATTGTGTTACTAGAATTTTTTTTAAAATTTACTAAGAAAATTGATCTTGTGCAAATGAAAAATTAATCAGCAACAATTTTTTAAGTACGAAAAGGTAACCGAGATATACCTATAAATAAATATTATAGCCAATATTGCGAAATCGCACGTATTTTGTGCTTAATCAATTTAAATGCGAAACAGGAATAGAATTTCTATCCGAACTGTTAGCAAATGTTAGGAAGAAAATCTTTCTGTGATTTTATGATTAATATTTAATCATGAAACCTAAACTTTCCAGAAGGTATTACTAGAATGTTGTTGCTGTAAATTTTGTAGACTACAAACAATTTCTAACAGATACACAAAATAGTGACAATTTTTTGCTGCGAGAACACCTAGAAATCTACCTGCGTTAGGCCCGGGTTCACAGTGGCTAGTTAGCTTAACCAGTTGTTAAGTAGTGATACCAACCACTGACACAAAATTCGGTAAGCTATTTACACTGAAATAATTGGTGTCCATTTTAGCATTAATCCAGAAATTTTTTATGTTTCCTAATTCGCGAGGGCGACAGTTGATGCTTTGCTGATTATACTCGTCCAATATCTTTAGCCAAGCCTCTTCTTTTTCTTTAACACTCACAGCATCAGTCCGCTTATTTTCTATTATCAATTTGTATTTTTTTATTAATGATACTAGTGCTAGTTTTTCAGCTTGACAAAAATTTGGTGCTCGTATACGGTTTATTTTCATATCCATTTTTATTATGCGATGAGGTATCGTAATAATGAGGATGAAACTGGAATTTAATTATTTCAGTGATTAAATATATGTATATGTATATTTTTTAAGCTTATTTGCGAAAATGCGACTTGTCAAAATCTAACCTTGTAAATAGCTTACCGAATTCAAGGTTAGATTTTGACACGTTGCATTTTCGCAAATAAGCTTAAAAAATATACATATATATTTGATATATTTGTGATTGATATATTGATGTATATGTACAACATATAGTGTATATATACATTATATAACCTTGTAAATAGCTTACCGAATTTTGTGTCAGTGGTTGGTATCACTACTTAACAACTGGTTAAGCTAACTACCCAGTGAGAAATGATTCGTCGATCGACGTCGAAACGACGTCGAATCGACATCGACACCATCGAATTGGCATCGATTCGACATCATTTCGACGTCGATCGACGAATCATTTCTCACTGGGTAGCCACTGTGAACCCGGGCCTTAATAAGATAGTTTTTTAAATGTACGAGTATATCATACATTTTACTAGTAAGAGTAGTTTTTTGAAATTTTACCATACATTTAAAATGTATCTCATCCCACGATCACATGATTTTCAGGGTAAGGTTTAAGAGAGAAAATTCTCTCCGTGTACGGTTTAGTGAAAAGAGGGGAACATGCTAAGAGTTAGGATTATCGCCTCGATATCGCGTTTTCATCCTCGGCGTACGCGCGTCTTTGACGTCAGAATTGCGACGTTTACACTTGCGCAAGGTGCAGATATCGCCACCGGTAAATATCCAGATCCTTTCTCTATCCTTTTTTTCTGTGCTTTTTTTCTGTGACGGTGCACCACGTTGCGCAGTTGATTTTTCCACGCTGACTCACCTTTTTGCTCTTGCAGGGAACACTTACGTCTGCAGCCTGCTCGTCGCACTCGCTGTAAGTGGCCGCGGACTTTCATCAGTTACGGGGACTCGCGCTGTGCACTTTCCTGTACTTCTCACTCCCGGAAGCCGATCTCCGCGCGCACGTCGTCGGCGCGAAAATTTTCTGCCGTCAAATAATGATACAACGTTAATTAACCGAAATCGCACATAAATTAACTTCAGCTAATTGCCGTAACGAGGAAACGGAAGAAACCTCCTGACGTAAAATTAGAACAGCCTTTCCTTCCATTAAATAATTTTGTGTTAAATGATTGCAAAATATATAGCATAAATTTTTCTATCAGCTTGTCTGGACCGATCATTAGTTCGTTTAATTTTACAATGAAACTTCACTGAATTGACTTTTTTATTTTTATTTCGATATTAAAGTAATTGTTTATTTCAATTCTTCGTAAACACACACACGTTATCTCAGAAGGAAGATTTTTAGACACGTCGCCGTATTATGTACGTCATAGATGCTGCTCGTGGCGGTGCAATGCGGTGACATAATGCGCAAAAGCATCGTCTTCGACAAGAATACCCCGGACGTGTTCTATTGTCCGCAACACAAGCCGATCGGTTTCGAAAAGATGCTGGTCAAGGCGAGACCGCTCTCCAGGCTCTGCCAATTCGAGGGCCGCCAGATACCCGAGGATTACAAGAGCGACTGTTACAACGACGTGGATGAGACCGAGTACGCTTGCAAGGAGAAGTACAGAATCATGGTGAGTGTCGAGATTTATTTTTAGCTTTAATTTTTACAGTCGACGTCTGGGGTTAATAGAGGAATAAAGTGGTCTCCGCGGTTTTCCTAGTTTTGAAAAAAATTACAGTTTTTATTTATTGGGTGTACAACTTTGCTTCCGCCGTTTTTCGATAGATGGCTGCAGCGGTAAGTGCTGGTCGAAATAGGTAGAGGCGTCATTATAGGCCTCTTTTTGCTTCCTCATAGAGGAAGCTTTGTTTCGATGCGAAAAATTTTTTTCCAGTTTTCATTGCCAATGGGTTTAAAATGTTTTAAAAACTCAAAAAAACAATTTTTAAAAAAATGTATGTGTGTGTGTGTATGTCGTAAAAATTGTTCGCGCTCTCACCTCCGC